ATATGGAAACAGTTCTTAATCCATACAGTCAAAATGGAGGAATATATTTTTCTTTATAGGCATAAAGTATGAAACACTCACCCAATTCATCAAATTTTACTTTTTAAAGAAAAGGAGCCTTACTTGCTTTGTTGAGTTGACATTCCTATTTTTGTGTTTAGGTACACTGAATGGTTTCTGACTATATATGAGAACTTTTTATTTAAAATCATCAGATTGTTCTGATATTTTGGTTAAAATAACTGCATGACATCAATAATTTGTTCATACAAAGGGATATAAAATTTTTCCAGGTTTCTCTTTTTTGGGTCAAATTAAAAATGTGTCCAACTAATATATCCAACATATAATACAAGATAATCCAAGTTACACAAAGGTAAATAAATGACCTTATTAAGGTTTTAGTCAAAAGGTCAAAGTGAAGTGAGATCTGGATATTTATTTGTTTAGTTAATGTTCATTAAACATCACGAATAGGTTAATTAAACAAACTTCATATATTTTGCATTCTCAGGTCAAAGATCAGCACACATTTTGTTATACCATTGTTGTCCATGAATATTATAACACCTCTATTGACTTTTCAGGTTAAAGGTTTATGTATTCCTGCTACAGTAAAACTTCATTATAAGGACATCAGAGTGATTTGTTTATTTGTAAGGAATTACACTGTAGGTATAAAATCTCCCACTCTTTCTTTAATATGTCACTGAATGGGTTCCTTCATTTTAAAGAATTTGACAAGCAAATCATATACTGACTTTTAATCCTTCAAAACACAATATGTATATTAAATCTTGAGATTCAGACTTTCAAACTTTTAGGCTTTCAGACTTTTAGGATTTCAATCTTTAAAAACTTTCAATCTTGAGGACTGAGTATTTTAATATTTATTTTGTAAGTCTTGTCTTTTATGTCATTACTATTAATCCTTAGTAATTCAAACTTTTCATATTTGTAAAACCAGAGTGTTGAAGTACATTGTGTAATCTTATTGTTTATCTAAAATTACTGCTTTTAATACAGTCAAATATAATTTGTGATGATCAAAATTTACAAATTGCCTGACCTACACATATTTAAAGTTTCAACATCATACACTCTTGAATATCCATAAATATCAATATATTGATTCAGCATTGGCTATCAACCATACACTTGTTAACCTAAGGAAGGCTCTTATCATAAGTTTAAAAAACATGAAATTCCTCATGCAATTTTAAAGAATCTTTGTTATAAGGGATATTAAAGACAAAGGATCCATAAATTTCCAAGTAGTAATAATATTTTAAAACTATATATCCACATTAAATTGAGGAACATTTGAAGATCCCTTTTCTTTATAACTCATGAAATTTCATGTAGATAGTGACTATAATGTGTAAATAATCTTTATGAAAAAAAAAAGGATGGTGTAAAGTTAGCCTCACCCAACACCCAAGGGAGAGGGAAGGGGGTTGAACCCTTTTGTCCAGGAAACCTACATGAATTTTAAAGGTTTAAAAAATAAAATTATATCAAAAAGGTTAATATTTTTTAATTTTGTTTTTAATATTTTCTTAAGTTTTGTTTTTATTTTTAAAAAAAATTTGAAAGTTAATAAAAACAAAACTTAAAACAAAACTAAAATATTAACCTTATAAATTTGATATAATTTTATGATTTTTTTAAAACCTTTAAAATTCATGTTTCCTTGGACAAAAGAAGGGTTTTACCCCTTCCCCTCTCCCTTGGGTGTTGGGTGAGGCTAACTTTACACCATCATTTTTTTCATAAAGATTATTTACACATTATATGAGTTATAAAGGAAAAAAGGGTTCTTCCAATGTTCCTCAATTTAAAAATGTGGATGTATAGTTTTAAATATTATGACTACTTGGAAATGTATATGTCTTTTGTCTTTATCATCCCTTATAACAGAGATTCTTCAAACTTGCATGAGGAATTCCATGAGTTTAACTTATGATAAGAGCGTTCCTTAGGTTAACAAGTGTATGGATGATAGCCAATGCTGAATCAATATATTGATATTTATGGATATTCAAGAGTGTATGATATTGAAACTTTAAATATGTATAGGTCAGGCAATTTGGAAATTTTGATCATCACAAGTTATATTTGACTGTATTAAAAGCAGTGATTTTTTTATAAACATTAAGAAGATTACACAAACACTGTACTTCAACTCTTTGGTTTTACAAATATGAAAAGTTTGAATTACTAAGGATTAATCGTAATGACATAAAAGACAAGACTTACAAAATAGATATTAAAATACTCAGTCCTCAAGATTGAAAGTTTTTAAAGATTGGAAGCCTGAGAGTCTGAAATCCTAAAAGTCTGAAAGTCTGAATCTCGAGATTTAATATACATATTGTGTTTTGAAGGATTGAAAGTCAGTATATGATTTGCTTGTAAAACTCTCTAAAATGAAGGAGCACATTCAGTGACATATTATAGAAAGAGTGAGAGATTTTATACCTAATTCCTTACAAATAAAAAATATCACTATGAGATCCTTATAATGAAGTTTTACTGTAGCAGGAATACATTGACCTTTAACCTGAAAAGTCAATAGAGGTGTTAAGATATTCATGGACAACAATGGTATAGCAAAAATTGTGTTGATCTTTGACCTGAAAATCAAAATATATGAAGTTTGTTTAATTAAACTATCCATGATGTTTGATGAATATTAACTAAACTATTAAATATAGCAGATATCCTCCTCACTTTGACCTTTTGACTAAAAACTTAATAAGGTCATTTATTTACCTTTGTTTGACTTTGATGAGTATCTTATATGTTGGATATATTAGCAAGACACAATCTAATCTGAGTAAAGAGGAAACCTGGAAAAGCTTTCATCCCTTTGTATGAACAAATTATTTGTTGTCATGCAGTTATCTTAACCAAAATATCAGAACAATCTGATGACTCTTGAATAAAAAGAGTTCTCATTATACTAGTCAGAAACCATTAGTCTACCTGTCAAACACAAAAATATGAATGTCAACTCAATAAAGTAAGTAAGGTTCCTTTTCTTCAAAAAGTAAAATTTTGATGGATTGGGTGAGTGTTTGTTACTTTATGCCTATAAAGAAAAATATATGCCCTCCATTTTGACTGTATGGATTAAGAACTGTTTATATAATTGAATCAAACTTATTTCTTTCATGTCATTCTTAATGTCATAGTACCCATCATTCATAATATGTACAAGTTTCAATCCTAATAGATGAATCCACATTTTGTTTTTATTTCACATCACTTGGCGGCCATATTTGAGGGAAACTCAAAATTCTCTGTTCATGTTAATTTTCTTGTGTATACCTTCATCATTTGACATAATTTATTTGCTTCTTGTATTTTGATTGCCTAAATCAGAGCTATTAATACAGAGAAAGAAGACTAAAAATGAATACAGTGAATTTATTGCAATAATACCTACATGTTTGATACATAAAGAGAAATATTTTTTTCATTCCTTTTTGACCTTTGGATTGACCCTGAATAGAGATACCATTTACTTTTTGGCAAGTGTAAACTATATACTGCATGACTAAACATGGTTTGTATATTGAAATATGAAATGGTTTCTTTAATGCTTAAATCAAAATACTCCTACTGTCCTAGTGAGAATTATGCTCAATCAACTTTGTGAAATATTCTTTGCCAACTTCCAATGCTTCTTATTTAAATTTTGTATAAATTAATTTAAAAAAAAACTTCCAATGCTTCTTTATTTACATTTAAAAAAAAAAAAACTGACAAATAAAATTGTTTGTTTTCTCATTTATTTTACAAGAAATAACATGCTGACAGTGAATCTAATCATTTTTTAAAACTGGTTAAAGTAATGTTTACAATTGTCTTAAAATGCTCAAATGCAAGTTTATTTCATACACAAATACCTTAAATGTATAGACTAAATGTACTTATAGATTCAATATATAGACTAACCCCTTATAAATAGTAAAAATCATTTCTTAAATCTGATTTTCTTGCCTATTCTCTCATACATTACCTAATTTGAGTATTCTCAAATTATTGATTACATGAACAAACAAATTTAAGACAAAACCACAATATATGCTGAATGCCCTGAAATGAAATGGTTACATATGTAAGATGTGTAACACATCATGTACAACTTTTAAGTCTACAAAATTTTAAGTTAACCATATTATACAATAAGACTACTTTTTTCAAAGTTATGAGAAATTCTCCACAAAAAAAAAATGTATTTATGCAAAAGATAAATGTTAGGGTACAATTTTAAAATACATTTTACATGAATCACATAAAGAACATATCAAATCATTTCTTTGTGATTGTTTTCCATTGGAACATCTGTGAACAAACATTCTGTTTTGTCTTTTTTTTGATACATAAAAAGCGTCCAAAAATCATTTGGAATTGTTGTGTTAAACCCTGATACTCAGAATTTTAAGAGTTTCTGATGTGTGCCCTACTTAGAAATGTTTACAATGTAACAAAGATGAAACTCATAATTGATTTAATCAGCAATTATAAAGTCATCAGGTTTACACATGCTTTTCTAACACATCATGTACATTTTTTTTCTACTAGTATGTCTTTGTTCACAAAAAATTGAAATCAACAGTACTTAGCATTCCATATTAAGAAATATGAACCCTAGCTATTAAAAATCTAAAAGTATATTTGTGCATCAATGCATTATGTTTAACAAAACAATCTCTTTCACTGTGATGAAAATTGTCTTCTTCATATAACATGCAGATGAAGAACTTCTTTGGATGATGTCATTTTCACATGTAGAAAAGAAACTAATTCAACTAAAACTAAAAGACAGTCATTAAAATTTTAAGGACATTAAAGGATGATATCAAGACCGAAGTCCAGGAATTGATAAAATTCTACAATTATCATCCAAAGATGTATATGTTTGGATTTATTTTTTAATTCACAAGCAAATGATATGCTGCCATTTAATCTTTCAAACTTAAAAAAAAAAATTCTATACTTTTGAATTAAAAATTTCAAAATCTAGAGGAGTCTTCCCAATACCTATCTACATGTATTTATGACTGAAGGTATGTAAATCACCAGAGTTGCTGTACTGCACCATTTGAATAAAAGTCATATCCACATTCTTGACTTTTTTCCCTAAACCTTATTTCAAAACATAAATTATTCCAACCAGTCTTTATCTACGCAGTGATAATAAAATTTTTACAGAATTCTAAGGTATTACATAGTAATAGTCTTTAAACATCCTTGAACATAGTGCATATGATTTACATTTCAATTCTTTCCAAAGAATATGCTATGCCACCCAATAGAGCTGATATAAAGTCTATAGGTTATCACAAAATGTTAAAGTTACAACAACTGAATTTTACCCAGGAGAAAAATGATCCAAAAATCTATAGAAAATCTCCGAATCTTTCTTTACTTATGATGTGAATTTTGCAGGTTACAAATTATTGTCAAAGGTAGTTATCTCAATAATCTCATGCTTTGACCCTGACAAAGTGTCCTATAAAACTAAGTGTATTACTCTAACCTGTTCTGTGTAGTAAGCATGAAGTCTAATGGTTGATAGAAATATTCAAGATATTATTACATCACAGATCAGGGGACACTTACATCTTTATGGGGGTCCTATTGAGACCTATTAAATTCAAAATAGGACACACACACACACACATACACAAACAAAATGTATTTACAGTTCCAGGAAAGTAATAATTACACCAAAGCTAGCTTTTAAACATCTGTGTAATTTGTTAGGGGTTGTAGAAATAAGATGAAAAATAAAAGGTTTAAATGTATACTTCTCATACATAACAACTGTCTTCAATATGAATTGGTAAAAATAAAAGTCACATTTAGATACTTTGAAGTCTGGGAATTATTTTTTTTTTTGAAGATCTCATACTATCAGAAAATCACAATATCAATTCTAGGATTTGATTAGACCTCAGTTTGTTATATGACTGCAATTTATCTATTGTTGTGTATGACAGAATATGAAAGATATGAAGGGGAGAGCTTTTGACCTTTTTTTTTTCCTTCATCATAGTTTAAAATATATATTATACAGGTCTTTATCTATGTAGTGAATATAGGATTTTTACAGAAACCCTAGGTATTACATAGTAATAGACATATAAACACCCTTGAACATTGTACATTTAATTAACATTTCATTCCTTTCCTAAGAATTTGCACCTAATTTTTGTAAAGTCTATAAGTTATCACAAAATGTTAAAGTTACTGCATTACAGGACTCAAATCAGTAATCTCAGTAACTAACTTTTACCCAGGAGTAAATGATCCAAAAAAAATCTATAGAAATATCTTATTGATTCTTCATCTGTGTACTTATGATGTGAAGTTTGTAAGTTACAAATTATTGTCAAAGAAGTCATCTCAATAATCTTATGCTTTGACCTTGACAAAGTGTCCTAAACAACAAAGTGTATTCCTACAACCATTCTATATGTAATTAGTATGATGAATATGGTATGATAAAGATATTCAAGATATTATTAAACCACAGATTATGGGACATTAAATCTTGCATCTTTATTGGGGGTCTTATTGAGACCAATTTTAAATTCAAAATTAAACATGATACATACACAAACAAAATATATTTACAATTCCAGGAAAGTTAAATAATAACATTAAATCCAGCATCTGGATATCTGTGTAATTTCTAGGGGGTTGTAAAAATTAGATGAAAAATAAAAGGTTTAAATGTGTAATTCCCATACATAACAACAGTCTTCAATATGAATTGGTAAAAATAAAAGTCACATTCAGATACTTTGAGGTCCGTGAGAATTAGTTTTTAAAGAGCTCATGCTATCAGAAAATCATATTTTCAATACTTGATTTGACTAGATCTCAGTTTGATAAATGATTACACTTTATCCATAGTCAGTGTCTGACAGTGAAAGATACAATCCTGGGTCCTTTCTTTGTCATCCTGTTAACCACAGTCTATGATCGTACTGGTTAAATTCGTTGGAAATCATATTTATCTATGTTCTTCTTAAATCCTCCATCCTCTTAAGTTTGGTTTTCTTGTTTCAGTGTTCCAAGAGAGGATATTCTGTTAGTCTTTGCATAATCTGATAGTCTTTCACCATTCTAAGAGTAGACATAGATCATTTCCATAAGCCCTCACTAGAGAATCCTGAAAAAATAAAAAAAAAATAATGTCTTAGTTGAAAAAAAAAATTGTAATGTAATATAAGCTTGATGGAATTCTAAATATAGACAAAAAGGGTATAAATACAAGTTGTAACATAAGATTTTGACTTTTCATATTAACCATGGGTAACACCTCTAGTAAAGAAAAGAGTAAAGGAATGAGTAAAATTCAGTTTGGAGAGAGAATTCTTTCAGAGAAAGATGTAGACAGAGGTATACCAGTTAAAATAAAAAAAGATGGCACTATTGAGATCATTTCTCAAGAAGAATATAACCAATTATGTCCAGAAAAGGGTGATCCTAATGTTGTCAGAGATTACATAGAAAGACCCTTGATTGCAGAAGAAGCCAATGAAGAATATAACCATTTATTACCAAAAGAGGGTGAGAATTACTTGGATTACCCTGAAAGACCTTTGACTAGAGAAGAAGTCAAGTTTATAGATGATAAGAGAAAACAGTTGTCAGAAAAAAAAGATTGTTAAAGACACATGATTTTTAGCCCACAAAACCATTGGAGATACAAGGATTACAAGATACAAGGATTAATGGAGGAAGTCCAAACTGAACTCTTGGAAGACATTAAGGCTCATTATGAGAGTAACTTTCCAGTGTTTGTTTATTACAAAATTATGTATTCTGATAAAAAAAAAAAAAAAAGTTTTCACTTTCATTTGTTGTGCCTTTGACCATTTAAATTGACCTTATGGTCAAGATTGTGATATATACACTCTGATAATCATCTATGATGTCTCTATGATGTTTACCTCAAAAGATTGAATCAGGGTATTTGTGTTCAAAGAGCTGAAGAAACTATACAGACAGATCTAAGATGTTGGAAGCATACATATTAATGAGGTTAAAGGAGATATAACACTAGATTATTAAAAAGAAAGAACACAAACTCATAGAAATGATATTGAAAGTACCTTTTATGAATAAAGTGTCATGCTCCAAGGTATTATTTTTATAAACAGGAGAAGGTTTACAGCAGTCCCATACACTCAGAAGAAGATCTTGGGTAGTAGAAACACAAGGGAATTTTATTTCCACACAATCAGATCTTACATCAGTTATAAGGTTACAGTTTTTATACATAGTTAAGAGGGTCATTAAGATTTCTTTTCTGGTCATCCTAATGAGCCACATTATAGTATTCTTTCTCTTTGATAGAATGTTAATATTAAATGGAAAATTCAGAATTCATCAGCAATTGAAGTCAAAACTTCCTATCTTTACCAATTATGCTATTAAGGAAGCTGGGGTTAACAAATTAGCCATATTTAACTTATTCTATAAATATGTTATCTTCAGCTGTTAACTATCATTTGGCAAAGAAAAATTTCATACATTTTAGTTTTAAAAATTTGATCATGAATTTTTATGCCTTTTCTTCTTCTTCTAAAGGATATCAATAGAGTTTAAACATGACCATGACCACCAAGCCCTCTTTATTTTAAAAAAATCATATATCATTTACTTATCAATTCAAAAATATAAAAATGCATATGTAAATAAATAAATAAATAAATAAAAATTACAATTGTATCTCATTGAAACTTTACCTTCAAGTTTGTGTGTTTCTATGTTGATTGACTAACTGTGTATTTCCAAAGGAAGACCAGCAGCCAGGCTTCACTTCATAGAGAATTGATTATAGATGGTTAGGAACAAACCATATCTTCCATGTTGATGACTGTAGAAATAAAACCATTTTGTTAATATGACAGAGTACTGCATGAAACAATGCATGTTTAAATACAACATGTACAATGCCAAAAAAGATCATGAAAATATTTGTTTTTAATCTCAAAAAATTGTTTTTAACATTAACTCCAGATGAGAAAAGTTCATCATGTTATCTATAGATAATAAACAAGCACAACTACTGTATTAATATCATAAATAAAATGATTATCAGATTAATTATTTAGACACTAAAAAACTTACTATCTTTATGATATTGATTTCCATTATCAGATGTTTTTTATCCATTTTTTTTTATCCATTTTAAAATATAAACTAAAACAGTTAAATAAATTAAAATGATATCTCATTGAAACTTTACCTTCAAGTTTGTGTGTTTCTAACTAACTGTATTTCCAAAGGAATACAGACAGGCTGAACTTCATAGAGAATGGATTATAGATGGTTAGGAACAAAACATATCTTCCATGTTGAGGACTGTAGAAATAAAACCATTTTGTTAATATGACAGATTACTGCATGAAACAATGCATGTTTAAATACAACATGTACAATGCCAAAAAAGATCATGAAAATATTTGTTTTTAATCTCAAAAAATTGTTTTTAACATTAACTCCAGATGAGAAAAGTTCATCATGTTATCTATAGATAATAAACAAGCACAACTACTGTATTAATATCATAAATAAAATGATTATCAGATTAATTATTTAGACACTAAAAAACTTACTATCTTTATGATATTGATTTCCATTATCAGATGTTTTTTATCCATTTTTTTTTATCCATTTTAAAATATAAACATTTAAATAAAACAGAATTAAATAAATGAAAATGATATCTCATTGAAACTTTACCTTCAAGTTTGATTGTTTCTATGTTGGTTGACTAACTATGTATTTCCAAAGGAATTTGGGCAGACAGGCTGAACTTCATAGAGAATGGATTATAGATGGTTAGGAATAAAACATATCTTCCAGGTTGAGGACTGTAGAAAATATAATCATTTTGTTAATATGACAAGGAACTGCATGAAACATTGCATGTTTAAATACAGTGCCAAAAAGTTCATGAAAATAGTTCATCATGTTATCTTTAGATAACAAAAGAAGCACAGTTACTGTATTAATATCACAAATACAAAATGATTATCAGTGTAATTTTTAGACACTAACAGACTTTCTCTTAACAGCATATTCAATTTTGTTTAATACCTGTCAGTACAGCATACAAAAAGATATTAGCATATACAACATGTAGTCCTACATTTTTTGAAAAGCTCATTACCAAGAAACAAAAGTGAAAATGAAAATATATGTATGCCATATATACCACATATTTAGAATCAAAACAAGGATAAACCTTTTGTAGATTCTTACTTTTTCTTTTATTACATTCCTTATAGATCACAATTTAGTAAGTCTGAATTCCATGGGTAACAGACATAATGAATTATGACATTATATCATAATTTATGCAAAAGGACTTATTAACAATATGAAGTTTCCTTAGTATATTTTAGACAAAATAAGACTGTGCTTATATGAATGTTAGAGATATTAGATCACATAAGAATTACACAGTAATTAAATTAAACCATATAATCATGGTTAAATGCAAAGATGACCTTCATAGGAAATGTAAACAAAACAAAGACAAACTTACCAGAATTATCCAATTATATGCCCAATTAAATAATCCAGTGAAATAACATCTCAGCTGATCCTGAAAAAAAAGCATACAATATTCAGTGATACACAAATTAACCTCATTTTACAAAGGAAGTAAAGCAACAATTGACAGACAAACAGGACAGAAATGTAAAAGATACCATATGTATTTTACCAAAATTTAGTAAACATTTTTTCTGATTTAAATTCAATCACAGAATGACCCATCATAGTAATATTAAATACACTCTGGGTTACATGCAAATTATACCTTACATGAACTGAGAATAAATACCCCATTTACATTCATATAAACTGAATTTTACATAACTAATTACTCTTTTAACTGATGTCACCATTAGTATGTCAGAATATTCAGGGTGTAAAAATCATGTATATTCACTTTTAAAGTACTCAATATATATTTTACATGTTGATGTTTGAAATCACTGACTAAATAAAATACATACATGTATATACATGAAGGTTTAAAAAAAAAAGGGGGGGGCACACATGTTTATAGATTTACAGAGATGCTCAGACTGAGTTTTTCCCACTTTCATTGGGCCACTGTTGCACCAGAATGTAAAAATATGAGTGACAAATAAGGCAAAAGATTCTGTATATTTCATTAAAAAAGATTTGAGACAAAAGATTCATTGGCATAATATGATCTGATTGATTATCTCCATATCCTTCTTTTGGTCACTGTGATTAAAGATTCATAGAAATATTAGAAATAACAACTGAGAATATCACTTTAGTTGTTTTAAAAGCATGTATCAGTATTTTATAAGATATGCTAGGAGTCTCCTCATAAGAATATTTAGAATACTGATCCAATAAAAGGAATGTGAGACAATATGATCATAACTCATGCAAAAAAGATTTATCAACATTTTGAGGATCTTTTAGTGTCCTAGTGTATTTCAGGGTAAACAATGGCAGTGTTTATATGAATGTTCTAAACATAAGGTATATAACACAGTAATAATGAATAAATACAAAGATGACCTTCATAGAAAATGTATAAAGAAAAGTTTGTTAAAACTTACCATGTAACCAGGTAACTCAGTAGAGTAATATTCATTAAATAATCCAGTGAAATAACATCTAGGCTGATCCAGGATTCAGCTGTTCAGAACTTTCTTGGAAGAAAAACGGTAGAAAATCAGTTTTGGTACTGAAATCCATAGGACCATACTGTTATTACATGAAGTCTCAAGCGCTGTGAAAGTCTGTGTTATTGTGTCAAAATAAGCAGCCATCGCGGCTTGTGAAGGACTAACATGACGTCGCTGCCAAGTTTATGACGTCACAATGCATAGGTAAGCTCGCTGACTAGATAGTTTACAGAAAGATAAGTCCAACCTATTTTTGCAAGATGATGCAACAGGTAATAAAGATTTTGCAACAGGTATAAAAAGATGATGCAACAAGTATAAAAAGATGATGCAACAGGTATAAAAAGATGATGCAAAATCGTAAAAAGATGATGCAACAGGTATAGATGATGCATAATGTAAACATGATGCAACAGTATAACACACCCCCAATAGATTAAAAAGATGGGGATGATGCATATGTACTGAATTGACCCGGCTATCCCCCACAGGGGCTGCACTCCCTTGACCCACCTATCCCCTCCAGGGGCTGCACTCCGTTGACCCACCTATCCCCCCAGGGGCTGCACTCCCTTGACCCACCTATCCCCCACAGCCCCAAAAGTGCACGAACAGAAAGTGGTAGGGCTTTCATACTTCACAAATGTAATTCTTGTGAAAAGACGGTTCATTTTATACCAAGGACTTGGACCCTTTGACCTTGACCTTGGAGTTTGACCTACTTTAAAAATACAACTTTGACTATAATTTTTGAGGGGTTAGTACTAGACTTTTATACTTCACATATTTTATTCTTGTAGAAAGACCTCTTATTCGATACCAAAAACCTTGACATTTTGACTTTGACCTTGGATTTAGACCCACTTTTACACAAAAATTGCATATTTTTACTTTTGGCCCTAAGTTTTAATTGGTAGATACTATGAATTTCATTCTTCAATTATAACTTCTTTTTGGCACACCTTTCATTAAAACCAAGATTTTGACCTTGACCTTTGAGATTTCCGGACTTATGAGAAAACGTCAACCTTGGAAATAACTTTCGAAGAGGAAGGGTTAGGGTTTTCAACCTTCACATATGTAATTCTTGTTACAAGATCTTTTAATCAGTACCAATAACCTTAACCTTCTGACCTTGATCTTGGAGTTTAACATACATAAAAATCTTTTTTAACCTTATAACTTTTGAATGGTTGGGGCTAGGTCTTCCATCCTTCGAATATGTTTTCTTTGTTGAGAGACCTTTCATTGGATACCAATAAACTTGACCTCATTACCTTGATCTTGAAGATTTTTGTACTTATGAAAAAACTTAAGCCTGCTTTCATGTCTTGCAATTGTATTTCCAGGTAGAAGGCATTATCTCAGAAAATTTTAATCTTCAGTATGTTGCCATACGGGGGCATCAGTATTTCATAATCACATTTTTTTTTTGCACTTTAATGTTAGATATTTGCATATGTATACATTTTATGTTATATGATATTAATTATAAGTTCACATCAAGTTTAACGTTTGAAAAATCTCTTCACCTCTAAAAAATGCAAAGTTTCGATGATAAAAGTATTAGACCATTACAGAATCTTTATTACATATTGCCATTTTGTACCTCTTATTATCCCACCCGGAACGAAGTTTTGGGGGTGTATAGTTTTTGTCGTGTCCGTCCGTTCGTCTAGCTGTTTGTTTGTTTGTCCGCAAAACTTAAACCTTGTCCTTAACTTTTGATTTAATGGAGCTATGACTTTCATATTTCACGTGTGTACTCTTTGTGACAATAAATTTCTTTGTGTACCACCAAATCTATCTTTTTGACCTTGACCTTCGAGTTAAACACATTTTAACAAAAAAATTCTAATTTTTTACTTTGATCATATCTTTTAAAACAGTAGATACCAGGACATATGTATACTTCAAAAATCCATTTTCTGTTGAAAGACCTTTCATTGGATACCAATAACCTTGACCCTTTGGCCTTGGAGATTTCTGTTCTTGTAAAATAACTTTTACCTTGGCTAAAACTTTTGAAAAGTAAGTGCTAGGGTTTTCATACTGGACATATGTAATCCTTGTGACAAGCCCTTTCATTGGATATCAAGTCGTTTGACCCTTTGACATTGGAGTTCGACCTACTTTTTACAAACTTTAACCTTGGCCATAACTTTTAAACGGTAAGGACCAACGCATTTATACTTCCCAAATGTAATCTTTGAGATATGGCCTTGTGCAGAAACCAATAACTATGACCTTTTGACCTTGACCTTGGGGTTTGTCTTACCTTTAAAAACGTACCCTCCGGCTTTTAAGTGTGTGGGTTGGTGGGGTGGAGGTGGGGTATGATTAAGGCACGTTATACCTAGTAGGACCCAAAGAAAAACACCAGCTCCAATTATAGGAACCTCTTTGTAGTGACATTATTAAAACAATGCTATGCTTTTGATAACTAATTAACAAGAGGCTCTGTGAGCAATGAGTTCGTTAAATGATACCCCCGTATCCCATAAAAATATAGTGGCAAAGTCAATGCTTTGCTATGAGAAACCCAAAATATGTGTAGGATCACAAAATTAAACAAGATGTTTTTGTGAGCGCAAATTTAATATATTTGTACCAAAAGAACGGTATTCTCGCTAAAAATACAATTGTAAAATATTAAAGTTGGCCAAGACTAAAGTTTTTCACAAGTAAGGAATACTTCAAGGTCAAGGTCATTGATATCCAATGAAAGGTCTTGCCACAAAAATACATATGAAAATTATGAAAGCCTTAGACCTTACCTTTTAGATGTTATGGCGAAGGTTAAAGATGTTAAAAAGTAGGTCAAACTCCAACGTCAAAGGTCTTGCTTTCAAATGAAATGTCCTGTCACAAGGATTAAATATGTAAAGTATGAAAGCACTTGGCCTAACCCTTCAAAAGTGATGGTTAAGGTTTACTTTTTAAAAGTATGTCAAACTGCAAGGTAAAAGGGTCAAAGTTCATAGTATCTAATTAAGGATTATATAAGTGAAGAATGATATCACTAGCCCCAAGTGTTCAAAAGTCTTGTGACCTTGACTGTGACCTATATGCTAAAAATATTTTTTTTTTCTGCAAACTTTTACATTCGCCATAAATTTTGAACCATAAATGATAGAGACTTCATATTTGGTATGCATACACCACTGGTAAAGCTCTTTAAATGCCACCATGACCAATGACCTTGTGACCTTGACTGTGACCTACAGTGTATACGCTAAATACAGTTTTTTGTCTGCAATTTTAACCTTGGCCATAACTTTTGAACGAAGAAAGATAGAAACAATATTTGAAATATATACTTCACTAATGAAGCACATTCACGTGCCACCAAGGCCAATGACTTTGTGGCCTTGATTGTGTCCTATATGCTAAAAATAACTCGTTTGGAACCATGAGAGATAAAAACTGCATATTTAGTATGCATGCTTCACTATTCAAGTTCTTTGTGACCTTGACTGTGATCTATATATTATAAAATTGTTTTTTTTTAACTTAACCGCCGGGCGCATACTGTTTCAAAAATGCATCTTGTTCATAAGTATAAAAATCTCCATGGTCAAGGTCCAAAGGTCAAGGTAACTAGTATCCAATGTAAGGTCTTGTCACATAGAATACATACTGAGTATGTAAAGGATGGAAGTTATGACCTTTACCGTTCAAAAGTTATGGACAAGGCTAAAAAATTTAAAAGTAGGTCAAACTCCAAGGTCAAGGTGAAAAGGTCAAATTTGGAGGTTCAAAAAGAAAAGTCTTGTTACACGGAGTACACACATGAAATATGAAAGTCATAGCCTCATTAAGGGGGCTCTCTACACCTGTAAAGTATAACTGATTTTTGTTGCATGTATTTGTTTCTAATAATAGGCCCCATATCCGATAAAATAAGGTTCCAAAGTATTTCAATTTATTTTTTAGAAATATTTGAAATATGTTATTTATTTTGTTAAAATCCCTCCTATCTGTATTTTTAAGAGCCCAGCGCTTTAAATTTCTCTTCAAAGTTTAGTGTTATAAAATATTGAAATAATAACAAACAAAGCTAAAAATAAAATCAAAATAATTTTTATTTAAATTTACAAAAATGGACAAAAGAAAAACTAAAACAGCATTTTCTTGAGAATAGCTGGTTGGATCCTCTTCAATATCTGAAAAGATATATTATATCAAAGTGTAAAAACAATGAAAAAAAGAAATTGAAAAAAAATGAAAAACTGTCAAAAATTTATAAACATCACAAAAATTCAGGTGTGCGAGATCCGCTTTAAGAGTGGACTCAAATATCTTGGTACTGTTTTTTTATAAACTTCAAATAAACTCTACTTGCACAGTACAAGTATTAAACAAATGTTACGCAAGGACATTGAAAGAAGTTCGTATTGTACTTGTATTGTTTTTCGATGAGTTTAAGCGAAAATCATCGCGTTTCCAGTCAATGACAAAGACATGTATTTAGTAAATTCATGGTTTAAGTTTACTTGTAATATTTAATGATTAAATAATTAGAAATTGAATAAATTGACAAACATTTTATTTTAAAAGAAAGAATATGTATTGGGCGATACACTGTATTAATTGATGTGATATAATGTGCATTTCATACACAATATCGCATGTTGTGTTATACTCAGTGATTTATCGGTGTTAAGTTAATTTGAATCTGATCATTTGGGATCAAAATGGCGTTTTTACGGAAGTACGCCATGTTGTGACGTTGTAGAGGGCCCCCTTAAACCAAAAGTTAAGGACAAGATTAAAGTTTTCACGGCCAAACAGACAGAGATGCAAACGGACGGACACGGCAAAAACTATATACCCCAAAAACTTAGTTTACGGGGGCATAATGAGGTGCAAACTGGCAATATATAATAAAGATTTTATGATGGACTCATATTTTTAACATCGAAACTTTGCACTTTTTAGAGGTAATAAGATTTTTCAAACGTGAAACTTATGATGTGAACTTGTAAATAATATTACCGGTATAAAAAATAAAATGTCTTTGGGTTGAAGAAATAAGAAAAAAAAAATCGAAAAAAAAAATTAAAATACACCCAGCCGGTATCGAACTCACGACTCTTTGGGATACGTTCTAAACACTACGTGGAGTTCCAACTTCCTGGTTGAACAAGACAGTAATCCGTACTAAATAGTTTTGAGAAATACGATTGGTGTATAATAAAATTGCAGATTTTCTGCAAAAACAAGTTAT